CGGCCACCCCGCCTCCTCCGCAGCCGCCGGCGGCGTGCTCCGCTCGCCTTCGCGCTCCTCGTCCATGGAATTAATTCCGGCTCCACTTGTTGCTCGGCCCAGGTCGGGGAGCGGACGAGGGTGGCTGCGGGTTCCCGAGTGAATTCCCGAGGAGGGACCCAGCACAGCGCGGACTAGAGGGGAGCGAGGGGGTGCGGGAAGCGAACAAGCAGTACAGAGGCAGCGCTTGGCACCGGGGCTTTGACTCAACAGCATTGAGACATGTTTGTAATCGCTGGCGTGCCCCGCGCGCAGGATCCCAGCGAAATCAGATTTCCTGGTGAGGTTGCGTGGGTGGATTAATTTGGAAAAAGAAACTGCCTGTATCTTGCCATCAAAAAACTCACGGAGGAGAAGCGCAGTCAATCAACAGTAAACTTAAGAGACCCCGGATGCTTCCGTTGTTTAAACTTGTATGCTTGACAATTATCTGAGAGGCAATAAACATCTGCTCCTTTCTTCCCTCTCCAGAAGTCGATTGGAATATTAAGCCCAGGAGTTGCTTTGGGGACGGCTGGAAGTGCAATGTCTTCCAAGTTCTTCCTAATGGCTTTGGCCATATTTTTCTCCTTCGCCCAGGTTGTAATAGAAGCCAATTCTTGGTGGTAAGTTCCTTCTAAGTACATATTCCTTGTTTTATTTTTATTTTTTTTAAAGATTATGGGTACGATGCTACAGTATTTAAAGCTGAATTGTGAGTTTGAGTGCCTTTATCTGGTATATACGTGTATAATGTATTTTGTTTATATATCTGGAAATCAGAATTTTCTTTTAACTTGTTAATATCGTCAAACTTAATCTTTAGCTCCGTAGGGAATGGGACCCTATAAATCTGCACCTTTTTCTATGAGGCCCTTGTTCAGATGTCTGCTTGTAGTACATCATGTAATAAAAGGGGACCGAAATTCACTTCTCTAATAATTGTAAGCCTATCTATAAAATTTACTTTTGTCACCTCTAGGTAGTAAAAGTGAGTTCCAGCTTTTATTTTCTGTCACTTGAGGTTATTAACCTTCAGGGTCTGAGGTAGGCAGAGTGTTCTAGGAAGACAGCTACACTCCAAGTGGGGAAGTATTGGGGCTTGAAATTTGATCAAAAGGAGGTGAACATGAAGTAGTCAAACGTCCCTAAATGAGCGTTTCTCTCTGGTTAGGGGCCTTGTAGATAGACTGCAGTATATCCAGAGGATTAATTTTGACGGCGTTCTGGATATTTTTTCCCTGTAAATGAACAGTGTTTTTTCTGACTGTCAAACATGACTTGTATTCACTGGATACCCTGTCTTGGGTCTTTCACAATCACATAAGGGGCCCTTTTAAAATGTCCAGAACATGGTGAATTTTCTTCAGTCCCTCGACTTGTGTCCCTGTTCTTCCATCGGCCAGAGGGAGCTGCTATCTCCTCCACCCCGTGTCTAGTTGTGTCTACTTTGGGCATTCATACGCTTTCAAGGCAGATCCGTCCAATTTGTGGGGCAAAGTGAGTCAATTTCTCTAATGTCAGAGGCCTGTCCCCCAAACCGCCATCTCCCCCTTTTCTGAGCGCATTTCAGAAACACCAGGTAGATGGCAAGGAGGGCAAGGAACAGAGTGAAAACCTAACTGAGGAGCCAGATGGCGGGGTGGGGACCACACAATACCTCCGTTTTCTGAGCACAGTTTGAACAGAGGAGTTTTATGAAGCCCTTCTACTTTGTCATGAGGACAAGCTGGAGAGAAAATGCATCTGTGTGCTGAAAACTCTGTCTCGCTGACATGCGTTCAGGGGGCCTACCTCAAGAGTTCACGTAAATCTTGAATGCACATCTCCCCCCCCCCACACACACCCTTTCTAGGTCGCTAGGTATGAATAACCCCGTTCAGATGTCAGAAGTATATATCATAGGAGCGCAGCCTCTCTGCAGCCAGCTGGCAGGACTTTCTCAAGGACAGAAGAAACTGTGCCACTTGTACCAAGACCACATGCAGTACATTGGAGAAGGCGCGAAGACGGGCATCAAGGAGTGCCAGTATCAATTCCGGCATCGGCGGTGGAACTGCAGCACCGTGGACAACACCTCTGTGTTCGGCCGGGTCATGCAGATAGGTAGGACACTGCGTAACAGATGTTTAAATACAAACCAAGCCTTCTCCTGCAGAAGGGTTTCCCTATGCACTTGGGAGCTTGCTAAGGAGGGAATCTTCCAGCAGGACGAGGGCGGGGGAGTGTTGGTCACTACTTCTGTGGGCTTTAATGCCGGTTCCCACACCTTGATGATAATAAGTTTGGAGGCGCTCACTCCTTTAGCCAAATCGGAAGGGAAGCATCAGAGACACCTTCATTTTTCTGAACGCTGCATTTTTTTTTTTTTTTTTCTAAAACGCCTTCTGTTTGGAAGAGAAGCAGAACGCTTATGTTGGTTTCTCAAAAGGAGGTGAGGAAAGATGAGTCATTTATATCCTTTTAAACTTCAAAACTCTCTGAACGGTTAGAAGTCTCTTAAGCCACAATTCAAATGGCCCACGCAACAAACTAAATACTGTCATCTTTCGAATGCTGGCTATGCTGGAAGTGAATAAGGTTTTAATTTTCCTAATATAGATATTTCCTGAGGCTATAGAGATATATATGTTCGAAGCTTTATTTTTAGTCCCAGAAAGAATTTTAATTAGAAGTGATCCAATTTACGTTGCGATTTTGGCAATTGATACAAAAGCACATGCTAGAAACTTAAAAAAAAGTCTTAAATGTATTGCTCACAGTCAGATTCTTTATGTTAAACGTATCGTTGAACTTGGTATTGCATGCAGGGAGGAGGCGGCATTAAAATGGGGCTAAAGGCGGGCGCCTGGGTGGCTCAGTTGGTTAAGCGACTGCCTTCGGCTCAGGTCATGATCCTGGAGTCCCAGGATCGAGTCCCGCATCGGGCTCCCTGCTCGTCAGGGGGTCTGCTTCTTCCTCTGACCTTCCTCTCTCTCATGCTCTCTGTCTCTCATTCTCTCTCTCAAATAAATAAATAAAATCTTAAAAAAAAATGGGGCTAAAGGCAAAGAATTTGGAAACTCAGTTTGCCTCTGGTTTGGCTGAATAGCATGGGATACTGTCTGACAGATGTGATCCTGTATGTGTTTTCTAGTGTGAATATTTTAGGTCCATTTGGTATTACGCAAATAAGCCCTTATAATTAATATGACCGCGGTGATTCCTAAAATAAGAAGCCATTTATCAAAGCAATTAACTGTTTAGACTGACTGAAGATAAAAAAGTTGGCTTAATATCCGTCACGGATGGATAAAATGCTTTTTTAAAAACCCTGAAAAGTGCATTCATTGAGAACAAAAAAGAGTTGTCAGTGGATGTTTGAGCCCAGCGACTTCATATACTAAAATAATACAAGGACTGGAAGCCATTCCTCTAACTGAATGGCAAAATGGTCTGCAGCTCTCAGCCTGCAGTTTCATAGGGCTTTGTCCTTCCTGTTAATGATTAAAATGTGCTAATGTATATACTGGGATCTGAATCTAGGAGTTAAGCGGCAGGAACACAGGAGCTTGCCCTGAACGTGGACGGCCCTCTGTAGTTAACTGGGGTGGTGGAGATTCTCTTCTGCATTGTCATATTGCGAGCAAGCTCACAACTGGTTTGTTTGTTGGTTTGTTTTAGCTGGATCAGAATGGTAAGTTGTCAGCGTTGCCTTATATATATTCCCCCTAAACTGCCTTCCTCTCAAACTCTGGGAGCACTTTTTCACATGTGTGTGAGTTTGCAAAAGCCGTGCATTTTTGATAGTAACCAGGAAGCAAAACAGCAATTGGAATGGTTTTTCTGTGTCGTCACTGGAACAGGGCTTTGATTTAAGATCCTCTTCTCGTCTTCCTATGTAGCCTGTGTTGGGCCAAAATGTTCAGAATAAGCTATCATTTGCTAAGTGGATTTGAGTTCTGCTGGAGATTTATTTAAAATGTGGTCCAAGATTCAAAGAGCCTGCTTCCTCAGGGAACAAGCAGAACCTTTGGTACAAAGGCTTATAGTTGATTGTCTCTTGCAAATACACTGTCTGGTCCTCAGCTGTGTGGTACTCCTATCTGGGTTGGTGGCAAGTGGGCGGGAGTAGAACTTCCTGGCAGCCTCCGAGGGCGCCCTGCTAGATCCTGCCATCAAGTTAGCTGATGTCCTGGGCATCTGAGAGCACACCCCATCCTCCTTTGCCCAAAGCCCCCCAGGTTCCTGGGATCTTAATGCAGGAAGCTGCTGCTGGGCTTTCGGTGGAACACTGCTGGGGCCTTCTCTTCTATTTATTTAAAAAAGAGATGGAGGGAAGAAAAACCAGAATAGATTTTTGTGGAAGGGGCACATGGACCCAACCCCAACAGTGGGAAATTTACTTGGCTTTCACTTTTCTATTTATGAGTCTGTTTGAAGAGAAGGAGCTAAGGGAAAATTTAAGACACCTTTGATGCTGCAGGGTGTGTGTGTGTGTGTGTGTGTGTGTGTGTGTGTGTGTGTGCACGCACCCACTCCAGAGCACTTAGTACAACCAGGGACATGGAGAGCAATTCGTGTCCGTGAGAATCTGACCCTGTGATGGGGCCAGTGTCTGAGAAACTCAGGCTGCCACTTCCATCCCTCTTTGACTCATTTTTCTAGGGTGCCAGTTGCCTGGGAGGCACTGTATGAACACAATTGGCCAGTGAAGGGCCCACTCTTCATTTTGGAAACTTTCTCATTTTTCATCACGCTACCCTTTCCTCCAGCTTTTGTCTCCCGTCTCTTCTTTGTCTCCACACTGTGAAAAGATATATAAGAAAGGCTCCATTTTTAAGGGGTGCGAGGGTCCGAAGAGATGTAGATCTCACAGGGAGGGAAACCGAACTAAACCAGCAGTGTTCCATCTGGGATGGCTGTGTCCATAGGCTATCAGCCAAAGAGCACTTTTCAAACTGACATTTTTCCCTTCAGTGACCAATGAGCTTAAGAGATTTCGACCAGGTTTGGGTGCCAGGGCGAAAAAAGGAAATGCTCAAGGTAGACCCGTGAAAAAAGTGGTATTATTGTGTTTTGTATAAAAGCCCTTTTATGCACTGTCTACTCCCAGGACAGTGCCTTATGTTTATGTATCTCCACAGGACTCTTGATCTATCTTCCTCTAGCTCCTGCCTTATTCTACAAGTCTCCCATCCAGGGCCACAACTTCTTCTATACTATCAGTGTTAATCCTCAAATAACTCCCTAGAAACTATCTGCTCACCTCATTTCTCTCCACTCCCTGATGTGCCCTGCCTCTCTCATTTGAGCTAGATAGATGTAACACCCCTTAGGAACTTTCTGGATCCTCCTGCCAACCACCAACACACCACTCAAATTATTCATTTTTTAAATTGTGGGAGAGAAGGTCTGTGGTAACCAGGAACCTTGGCCATTCCTGGAAGGAGGAATCACAGATATCTGTGGATTGAAGTGTGGAGCTCAAGTTCCAGAAAGCGCAGCCTGCTGGATCCTGGAATTGGCATAGCCATGCTCCTCAGACGGACCCTTCTAGTTGGGGCTGAATCCTGTTGTCATCTGTTCTTCTGCTGTACCACCTCCCCCCATCCCCCCCCAAAAAAGATTGTTAGCAAGCTCTTTAAGTGTGGGAGAAACTTATGCTGGTACAGGGATTTCAGCGCCAAAATCGGCCTTTTTTTCTCCTAGGCATCTAGTTCAATGCCCTTATTTTATAGTTGAAGAAAGTGAGCCTCCCCCCCCGCCCCCCAGTACACCCCTCAGGTCCAGCTTCAGTGGGCAGGGTGTTAACCCTTTCTCTCTGGTACCACTACATTTTTATTAAGTGGCTTCTTGTTACACATGGAAACGTCTCCATGTACAAGTGGGAATTGAGGTAGTCTATGATTGCCTCCATTTGCCTCCTGACAAATGGGACTCCTCTGTCAGTGTTGTACAGGGAAGTAGCCTTTACAGCTTTTGAGAAGGGGAAGACTTTTCTTTTCCCCTCAGATTGTGGTTTCTTCCTTCTTGCTATTTATTCTAACACTTTGAGGCAAAGGCTATGGGGGTGGGGGGAGGGTTTGCAGAAGTAGCATAAAAGACAGCAGGCTGTTTGTTTTAAAAATAGACCTCCATTTTCCTGAATGAGAAGTATCAGGCCAATTGACTTGGGATTTAAGAAGAGGCAAGTTTCACTATAATACTCTAGAAACAGGTTTAGAAATGTCCTTTGGGGATGTCAAGAGCCTTGTCCTGAGACTGGCAGGCACCATGCTGCTTTGTGATGGAGCAGGGGGAGCCAGGCCCCAGGAGGAGGGCCTCTGGGTCCCAGGGCCTAAGACTTTCAGAGGCTCTAAGCCTAGCAAATTCTGTGCTCCCGCTGGAGGTAACTCAAAATGAAAATGACACCAAACCTTAAAATAAGTGTAAGGAAGTCTCCCCACATTTTGTTCTCCCTCAATGACTTCTTTCATGTGCATTTTGGGAAGTAAGTTTCCAGGATTTTCAGGGGCTGGAGGGAAAAACCAACGCAGCGCTGCCCGAGCTGGCTCTTCAGTGTCCCAGCAAAGACCTCGGGCAGGGGTCTGTCACTTGCTGCTGCCACGTGTTGGGGCGGCTCTCCTGGCCTTCCCTGGGGGTGGGGGCCGCCCCGGTGTGTTAGGGCTGGGGGCGCCCCGGGCCCCCTCTGCCCCGGTGGGTGCCCCGGGGCCGCTGGATGGGAGGGAAGGGGTGGGGCTCCGGGGGGGCGTCCTCAGAGCCGAGCAGGCGCCCGGTGACCCCCCGCGTCCCGCCCGCAGGCAGCCGCGAGACGGCCTTCACGTACGCGGTGAGCGCCGCGGGGGTGGTGAACGCCATGAGCCGCGCGTGCCGCGAGGGCGAGCTGTCCACCTGCGGCTGCAGCCGCGCCGCGCGCCCCAAGGACCTGCCGCGGGACTGGCTGTGGGGCGGCTGCGGGGACAACATCGACTACGGCTACCGCTTCGCCAAGGAGTTCGTGGACGCGCGCGAGCGGGAGCGCATCCACGCCAAGGGCTCGTACGAGAGCGCGCGCATCCTCATGAACTTGCACAACAACGAGGCCGGCCGCAGGGTGAGTCCCGCCCCGCCCCGCTCGGGTCCCCAGGCTCGGCGGCCGGCAGCCGTCTCTCCGGCCCTCGGTGCCCCCTAGCGCCGCCTTCCAGGTGTACCTGCCCTCCCCCCACCCCCACTCCTAGGCATCCGGCCCCTACCCTTTCTGATTCTGGCTCTGTCTCAGGTCGCTCTTTCTCCCTCTCTGCTCCCCTGTCTGTCTCCTTCCCTTCCTCCTGCCCCACCTACACCTAGGCCTCTCTGGAGAGGGGTGCATGCCCCAGAAAGGCCTCCTGGAGGTGAATCATCCTGCCCTGGCCCCCTCCAGCAAAGGTGCTCCTCCAGTTGCCTGAGAAAGAGCTTTCTCTGCCTTTTTAATTAGTCCCCAGTGCAATTGCCCAGCCCAGCTCAGAAATAAAAATGTGAATAAAGTTCGCCCTCCTCCCCAGAACATGTTTGTGGTTGGGCTTAAATGTGGGAGAGGGATTTCTTTACCCTGGTAGGTGCCCAGTGGAGAAAGTCCTCAGCTCAGCTTCCAGGACTTAGCTTTTCCCTCCCTTGCTTTCTCCTTGCCTCCCCTCATGGCATTAGATAGCAGGCCTGACAGATTGAGGGTTTTGTTTTGTTTTGTTTAAAGAGCTTTTCTAGGAAAACTACAGCATTTTTAGGAGTGTGGAGTTTTATAGGGCTGCCCATCAGGCCAATAGAGGGTGGCTCTGGATAGAAGAGAGGGCCACTCAGAAGTACCCAGAGAGACCAGCTTTGCAAGCCCTCACCAGCCTTCTGGGTCCACTCTTTCCTTCCCCTGGTGGGAAGCTTCTCCACAATAGTTAAAAAGACCCTTTTTTTCCTGCGGTTAAACACATGGCACTTTATGGCTGCTTTAAAATGAAGGGGTGAAACTTTTCTTAACTTTGGCAGCATTGAAAACCAGGGTCATTATTTTTTCACAGAACCCAAGGTAGGTGCCAGGAACTTTCTGGTCAGAGATTTCACTCTTCTGTATTTTGGGGTGAGGAAAAGGGAAGATAATCACAGAGTAAAATATAGAGGACTGGGAGGAGCCTTAGAACCCTCTAACCACACACCCTCATTTGTAAAGCTTGGGAAACTGAGGCCCTAGAGAACCACTTCATGGCCATGGGGGAAAATTGATGGATTGAGATACAAGTCCAGGCACGTTTTTATTAAACTCATGCGTCACAGCTCAGGGGTTAAGGGCTATCAGTTTTGGAATTAAAGAAATCTAGATTAAGATCCAGTTCTGTTCCTTTCTGTGTATGAGCCTCAGTTTCCACATTTCCACATCTGTTGGATGGCCATGGCATGAACTATCACTTGGGGTTATGTGAGGACTAACTGGGATCATATAGGAGGTGGATCCATACGAAGTTACCAATGCTTGACTATCTCTGACCAGTAAAATAAGAGTTTCACATGGTTCAGTCAAAAGGGCTGAGTTTAGTGTCCGCCTTTAGTAAGTGCTCGATAAATCATAATTGTTAGACATTATGAAGTAGGGGACAGAGAAGTCAAAGATTATCTAGATAATTCCAGCTAACCTAGCTTCTCACTTAAGCATGTGGTGGTGTTGGGGAAGGATTAAACTCGGCAGATTTTTGCCTGTGGTGCCCAGAGGGAGTGTGGCCTCTCCTTTCTCAAGCCTCCCATTGCTGTCTCTCCCCACTGCAGCTGACCAAGGCCACATAATGGGCATGTCAGCCCCACTCTCTGTGGGAGCCCATAAAGCTTGCCCCTGTCCTCACAGGGGGCACATCCCATTACTCTGAGCATACAGGGCCTCAGACCAGACGTGCCTCCAGGACAGAGATGTGCTTGACTCTTCTGGGCCCCATTGTGCCCATATTTGGTACTTCCATCCATGGAGGGGATTTCTTTGACTTTTCTCAGGAAGAGAAGTGATCAGGGGCTTAGCAAGCAAGGAGAGAAGGTCACGGGATTTCCAAGTGGAAAGAGGGGGTTTTGGAGAGTTGGAAAAGCACCTTTAATATTAGAATGTCATTTAACATCTACATTTTTAAATAGTGAGTGAATTCTTTTTGTAGGTTTTATAACTTGAGCAGTGAGCTGCCCTTGGATCCTGGCAGATGAAGTTACATAGAAGACAGTTTTTCTCCAGGACAGTGGGGGTAGGGAGGAGGAAATTTGGACACTGTGCCAGGAAATCATATTAGAATCACCTTGGGGCATTAGCTTTTTATTTTCCTCAAAGGGGAGCAAAGGTTAAATACATTTGCAAAACCCTTCCACACATTAGCTGAGTGCCTGAAACTCTTTATGCCAGGGGAGTACATTTTGGCCCCCCCCTTTTTAAAACCCCTTATGAATCCTTCTAGGATGAAGGGAGCTGTTCTGGGTGGAAGGAGCCTTCTAGCTCACTCCAGCCTCCAGGTTCCTGACAGTCCCCCTGCAGCTTGCCAGCACCACTCCGACTCTGCAGGGTGACTGGCACAGGGGCTGTGGGCAGTGGCGACTATAAATAGGCAGCCACCACCTCCCAGACTGCTGGGCACAGTGCTGTGAGGCCAAGGCCAGTGGGCGCTGCTACTGGGAGGCCACAGTGACCCAGTGAGAGCCCAGGACCAGCACCCAGATGCCATGGGCTCATCACTCTGGAGAAAGAGCAGATTCACTGATTGCATCCTGTATGCCAGACACTTTGATTGCATCCCCTCACTCTATCCTTATAACAGTATTGCGAGGTTCATACCATTACAGTTCCTCTTCCCAGATAGGAAGAGGAGGCTCTGAGAGGTGAAGCCAGTTGCCTGAATTCAGGGGCAGAGTTAGGACAAAACTCACATCCGCCTAGGTCTGGTGTGGGTGCTCTTATCTTAGGCAGTGTGGGGAAGGGTTAGGGATTGTGCAGGACCCAGGAGTGAGACTGCCTGAGATCCAGGCCTGGTTTCCCCACATTCTAGCTGTGTAGCCTGTGCAGGCCACTTACCCTCTCTGTGCCATGTGCCATCATCTAACCCATTATAATGTTATTTGGGAGGATTCAGTGAGATAAATAGTATAAAGGCTATGATGACAGTGCCTGGCACACCGCAGTAATAACAGTGACTACGATTTGAACCCTGATCCCATCTGGGCTGGCCCCCTTCCCCACCCTCCTGCTTAGCAGCTGGGTGCCCATGGGCAAGTCACCAAGCACGAGCTTGGAGCCCAACTGCCTGGGTTCAAATCCTGGCACCCCTACGTTCCAGTGGCTGGGTAAGAACTCTATGGGCCTCACTTTTCCTCTCTGTGAAATGGGCATGATATTAGCACTACCCTCATAGGCTGGCTGAGGGGATTAATCCAGGTAATGAAGGCGAGGAATTGTGAATAATCTCTGGGATGAGCGTTCAAGACCTATTAGTTGCTGTAACATTTTCCTGGGAAAAAAGAACATTTTCCTGTTCCCATTTAAAAGCTGGTTGTTGCTCACCGTGATATGTACTAATGAGGGGCTAAGAGCCTATTTATCTTGTAGACTTTTTAAAGAAGGCAACACCAGCCTTCTGGTAGCGCAGGATGAGGAGGAACTAGGCCGGGCCTGGCGGAGCTGGGGACCGCGGCTCCACGGGGAAGGGGGAGGGGAGCTTTGGGAACATACCTTCCACCAGCGTGCTCCTCCTCGAGTGGGTACACTGACTGTCCCATCTCCCCACAGACGGTGTACAACCTGGCCGATGTGGCCTGCAAGTGCCACGGCGTGTCGGGCTCGTGTAGCCTCAAGACGTGCTGGCTGCAGCTGGCCGACTTCCGCAAGGTGGGTGACGCCCTGAAGGAGAAGTACGACAGCGCGGCGGCCATGCGTCTCAACAGCCGGGGCAAGCTGGTGCAGGTCAACAGCCGCTTCAACTCGCCCACCACGCAGGACCTGGTCTACATCGACCCCAGCCCCGACTACTGCGTGCGCAACGAGAGCACGGGCTCGCTGGGCACGCAGGGCCGCCTGTGCAACAAGACGTCGGAGGGCATGGACGGCTGCGAGCTCATGTGCTGCGGCCGCGGCTACGACCAGTTCAAGACCGTGCAGACGGAGCGCTGCCACTGCAAGTTCCACTGGTGCTGCTACGTCAAGTGCAAGAAGTGCACGGAGATCGTGGACCAGTTTGTGTGCAAATAGCGGGCGCCCGCCGCCCGCCCGTCACCCAGCCCCGCCCCCAGGACCCACTTATTTATAGAAAGTACAGTGATTCTGGTTTTTCTCTTTTAATATTGTTTTATTCCCCCCCATCATTGCAACCGGAACCTTTTTTTTTTTCTGTTCCCATCTAAGAACTCTGTGGTTTATTATTAATATTATAATTATTATTTGGCAATAACAGGGGGGGTGGGAACCAAGACAGATATTTATTTTGTGCATCTTTGAAAAGGTAAGACAAGACTTCTTTTGATGGTATAGGATGAGGGGGGATTTACATGTACCCTTAGCTGTGTGCACATCTAGAAGGGAAAGGAAAGATGTTTTCTTTTTCTCAACTATGGGGTCAAATATAGGACAGGTAGCATCCAGCTGGAAGGGGGTGGTACAACTCTATGCACGATTCAGCTTCTGTGACCAAAATGAATTGTAAATGCTCTGGGGAAAGTGGAGAGGTCTGGAGAAACAAACACGAAATGAGACCCCCCCCTTCCCTAGGGGCTGCCAGCCTGAAACATTTTCAAAATGGTAATTTAAAAAGTAACAGCGAGAATCTCACATCCCTCAGAGATGTATCATTTGTCTCATTTTTCTGAAATGTTCCATCTGCAGAGGGTCCTGTACTGGTAGCTACTGAAACTTAGGGAACAGGGAGGAAAGCCTCGGAAGTTAAAAAAAAAAAAAAAACCTTAAAAATGCCTGTATCGAGATACTGATTTGATGCTGTTACAGGAATTAGGTTGTCAGATTGGAAAAGGATCCCTGAATGATTCTGGGTACTAGCCATTTTGTTTGGAGAGAAGCAGGGAGGTTGGATTGAATATAAAAAGAAAAATATACTGTAATTTTCTTAGGGATGCTTGGTTAATAAATGATAATGATGAAAATAATAAATGAATGCCATTCACAGATCCTCAGCCCAGACAACAAGGTAACTGCGTGCAGGTCAGGGCTGCACCAGAGCAGAAACCCTGTGTGAAGGGGAAAAAGTGAAATCGGCCCTCGGGCTTGACCCCAAGTCCTCTCTGATTCCTCCTGGCCCTGCTGTGATGTGATGCTGGCCAAAAGGCAGCTCCACTGGGTCCCCTTTGATTGTGGGACAGGAAATGAAACATTACAAGCTCCACTTGGGAAACAGTTTGCTACTTAGGGATTTTTTCCCCTAAACCTTTTATTTTGAGGAGCAGTAGTTTTATATGTTTTAATGACATTACATGGCTAATGGAGTTCCCAGAGGTGTTGCAGCTTTCACTCTTGTGATCCTGTGTGTAGACTATCCACTCCAGCTTTTCCTATTACACTGCAGGGGTACCCTAAGACTGTTCCTAGTGTACTTGAACAGTTGCATTTATAAGGGGGGTGTGGTTTAATGGTGCCTGATATCTCAAAAGTCTTTTGTACATAACATATATATATATACACACACATCTATATATAAATATAAATATAGTTATATCTCAGTGCAGCCAGTGACTTATAGTTTACTCTGGGGTTATTTCTCCCTCTAGAGCATTGTTATCCTTCATTGCAATCCAACTGGGATTTTTCCAGAAGGTTTCCGAGTTGAGCTTGGGCTGCAGCCCTGAAGCGATCGATCACACCTGGAGCATCACAAAGCAGCCTTGTTTCTGAGGAATCTGGAAGGTCTTACTGCTAATGCATGTTGGTTTGAAGATTTCTTTTATCGTCCCTGCGCCATCCCCTTCTCTCCAACCTCCATTTCTGTACACTTTCCAGAAAGGGCATTACTCGTTTGTCATAGACGTGGAAACCAAGAGACGCTCAAAACTCAGAAGCATTGTCTACATTTCCATTTCCTTGGTTCGTTTTGCAGAGTGGAAACTGGTGCTTCTTAGATCTGGTAGGACCTGTTTGAGTCCGTAAGGAAAATCGAGCTCACGACAAAACATAGCTAGTTAAAAAAAAAATTTTTTTTTTTAAAGCAAAGGACACCTCTTTCCTAAAAGTGCCATCAAATGTGTTCTTATCTCAGACTTATGCTGTTTTAGAAGTTTGGAAAGCTACACATCTCCTGCAACCCTCCTAGGCTCAGTGGCCTTCATAATCACCTCTGCCACCTGTGGCTCTTTAATTTATTGCACGAAGATATTCTCGTCCCCTCAGTTGCAGTGAATTGCAAGCAAAAGATCTTGAAATTGAAAAGCACTAATTAGTTTAAAATGTCACTTTTTTGGTTTTTATTATACAAAAACCATGAAGTAATTTTTTTATTTGCTAAACCAGATTTTGTTCCTTTTTAGTGATTCATGTTTATGAAGAGAGTTGAGTTTAACAATCCTAGTTTTTAAAAGAAACTATTTAATGTAAGATATTCTACTTGTCATTCAGATATTATGTATATCTTCTATGGCCTTTATTCTGTACTTTTAATGTACATATTTCTGTCTTGCGTGATTTGTATATTTCACTGGTTTAAAAAACAAACATCGAAAGGCTTATGCCAAATGGAAGATAGAATATAAAATAAAACATTACTTGTATATTGGTAAGTGGTTTCAATTGTCCTTCAGATACTTCATGTGAAGGTTTTTTGAGAAACCATGAGGGATAGTTTAGAATGGCTACACGTCAGAATAATAGAAGAGTAGAGAGTTTTACCAAAACCAAACTTCGGGAGCTTCAAAAGATTTCTATATGTAACGGAACAAAAGGGGAATTCTCTTTCCTATATGTGTTCCTCAAAAAAAAAAAAGAAAAGAAAGCTAGCAGATGGCTTAAAGCTGGTTATAGGATTGCTCACATTCTTTTAGCATTATGCATGTAACTTAATTGTTTTAGAGCGTGTTGCTGTTGTAACATCTCAGAGAAGAACTGAAAAGGCACACGCTTTTATCCAAGACCAGTATTTTGGTCCAAAAGTGTATTTGTGTTTACCACTGCATCTGTTTGAAGTTACTATGGACGGATTGTCTCTATGCCCCTTTGAAAGTAGTTCTATGAAAAGCAAGCCTCAGTCTGCAGAGAATGAAACTCATTGGAAACTAAAGGTTCGTTGTGTTAAGTGCAATTAATATGAGTTCTTGTGCTTTCTGAAAATGGACACCGAAATCTGGCCAGCCCCTCACAGAGTGATACGTTAGCCCTTTGCTTTTTTCTTTCCGGATAACCTTGTAACATATTGAAACCTTTTAAGGATGCCAAGAATGCATTATTCCACAAAAAAACAGTAGACCAACATATAGAGTGTTTAAAATAGCATTTCTGGGCAAATTCAAACGCTTGTGGTTCTAGGACTCACATCTGTTTCAGTTTTTCCTCAGTTGTATATTGACCAGTGTTCTTTATTGCAAAAACATATACTTCATTTAGGAGCGTCAGCATATTTTCCCTTCTCATCCTGGAGTGCATTCAAGATCTTCCCAATACAGGAAAATTAACAAAAAATTTATATATAGGCAGTGGCAAACAGAGCCATGTTCAAAATAGTAATTATGGGCTAAAGGAATAGGAAGACTGAAAAGTTTTAGTCCGGTTTATCTGTTCAGTTCTTCGAGCTGCTGACCTCCTGAGACTGGTTTAGTAGCCTCTCCAAAACCCTTTTCTCATACAATTTTGCTAATACCAGTTTTCAATTTGTTTTTGCAAAACGTTATTCAAGCCAGTGGAATTATCAAATATGACGCTCTAGCAGGATAAGGGCTCCAAATGAGAGACTGGTACTGGCTGACTCCAAGAGATCATTAGCAAAAATAGTCCCCAAAGACTGAGTGGAGCATAATATAAAAAGAGATGGATAAAAAGGTACTTATAACTTGAAGCCTATATGTAATGCAAATACGCACCAAGGCATAGGTCGGAGATACCGCATTATCACTGTAAAGTATACTTTTAAAATATTTATTTTTTTTTAAAAAAAGTATTTTTTAGTCTCCCCTCTATGGAATGGGGAAAACCAGAGGCCGTATTTTGAAAATAAGACGATGAAATGAGTTTTTAATACAGGAAACATTTGGCAATGTAGGAATTAAAACTTAGGAAATGAATCTTCTAATTTACCTGTTTGCACAAACTTTACACTTAAACCTGATGATTGGATGATATTTTATTTTAGTGAAACATCACCTTGTTAGCCAACTTAAAAAAATGGATGTAGAATGATTAAAGGTTGGTATTTTTTTTAAAGCAAAAAATGTATCGATTTGAATTTAGAACATTTCATTCAAATGCTGTCTCAGTATTTCAAAAGCAAAAAAGAAATGAGGGAAATTGCCGCTTAGATCAGTTTTATATGCAGTGTACAATTGCTGGGCTAGAATTGAGATAAAGATTATTTATTTTTGTTCATACCTTGTACTTTTCTATTAAAATCATTTTATGAAATTGGCGCAGTCACGTGTGTGTTTAGCTAGAGATTGTGTCCATGGCCATCAGAGCTGGATGCGGGCACAGAGCACGATGATGGCTTAGGGCCTCCAGAAAGAATTCACGTTTCACGCATGTGCATGATATTTTGGTCGAACTTTGAGGGTTTACTTTGTATTTTAATGCTCCTTTTTGTTTTCCTTGATGCTCATCTTTATTTCTAATTCATTCTGCTGCTGCTAACGTAAGGGTCATGTTAGGAGATTATTACTCAGTGTCGGAATTGAGCACAGTGACACGTGACATTATGACAAAATGCCAGGGCAAGAGAAGAAAGACTAGGATTTGAGGGGAGAGGGGAAATAATGTTCAAAATAAACAGACTGAATCACCTGAAACATTCTGCTGGTTGCTTTTTGCATGTTGCATGGTTTCGAGCCAGGTGTTTAAAACCTCAGCACTGTTGGCATTTGGGGCTGGGTTAATTCTTTATTGTGGGAGTGTCTCCTGTGTGATGGAGGTTTAGCAACATCCCTGGCCTCTAACCACTAGATGCCAGCAGTACCTCCCCCAATTCGTGACAACCAACAATGTCCTCAGACATTGCAGAATGTGCCCCAGGGAGCAAAACTACCCCCAGCTGAGAACCACAGCTTTAGATGGAGGGACTCAGGTCCTGAGCTCTTAAGGAATACAGGCTAAGTACAATGGGGGACTGTTGACTTGCCTGAATTGACTAATGAGCCAGAAAAGTCCTTTGTAAGTTTTCCTGTATAGAAATGGAGATGCAGTGTCTTCCGTAGGGCAGCCTGGCTTAGCCGCTAAGAACATAGATTGTTTGGATTCCAAATCCTGGTACCTGGACACACCTGCGCTGTGTCACCTTGGGGAAGTTGTAGAACCTCTCTGAACCCTTGTCTTTAAAATGAGAGGCAATATTATACCCACCTCTTAGAGTTACTGAAAGATAAAATGAGTTAACGTGTTCGGAGTGCTTAGAGCAGGTTCTAGTACATAGTAGGTGCTCACTAAATGGTCGCTAGAAAGGACAGAATAAGTCTGAAGACTAAACCCGAGAAGTGTGAGCCGGTTCTGTTTAACAGTCCCGACAGTGGCCAGCAGGATGCTAGCAAGTCACCCTTGGTGTCCGGGGAGCTGATCGACTTGTGGCCCACTGTCTTACACCACATTTTCAGATGTGTTTTGTTTGGCGAAGCATTTAAAAAAACGCTCAAATTAGTTGCCAACAAGAGTATTTGCACATTCAAATTTGGGTTTCTGGCTTGAACAATGGGAAGGGCTGGCCACCTGGATACATGATATCACCGGCCCCCATAGCAACAATCAGTTGGAGCTGTCTGTTTGAGCCGGAGTGGGGGGGTGGGGCATGTCCAATTTACCAGCCATTTATGTCGCCTAACTGACCCCTGCACGTTCGTGCACTTGTGATGGTCTTTAAAAGTGTTTTTCTTCTACATCGGAATTTCTCAACCTTACCATGGTTGACATGTGGGGCCAGCCAATTCTTGGCTGGGAGGGACTTTCTTATGCATCATGGCATGATTAGCGGCCTCCCAAGGCCTCTCTCCACGAGGTGCCAATAGCACCTTCCCACTGCTAACAACCAAATATGTCTCCAGACATTGTCGAACGTTCCCAGGGAGAGGGGCGGCAAAACCAAAACCACCCTGATTGAAACCCAGGGTCTGGATTTATAAGTTAGCCAATGAGGTGGGGTGCCTGGGTGGCTCAGTCGTTAAGCGTCTGCCTTCAGCTCAGGTCATGATCCCAGGGTCCTGGGATCAAGCCCCGCATCGGGCTCCCTGCTCGGCGGGAAGCCTGCTTCTCCCTCTGCCCCTCCCCCTGCTTGTATTCCTTCTCTCGCTGTCTCTCTCTCTGCCAAAAAATAAATAAAAAGTTAGCCAATGAGGTTAAACAAAGAAATAAAGAAGATTAGACTCTGGTGTCAAGAACTGTCTGGCACATCACAGGAGCTCAATAACTATTTAATGAGTGAATGAAAACCACATCCATTCTCAGGTTTTAGCCCCACCGCCATTCTTGAATCTCTGATCTCAGTGTCCTCAACTGACACATGGGCATAAGGGCAATTAGGTTGGATACTGAAATTACATGACAGAACCTGCAAAAGGCCACCTCCAAAGCCCCCAAATAGTAGCGAGTTAAGAGGGGGGGATTAGTATCAAAAACAAAGACAATCAAAAAAAAAAAAAAACAAAGACAATCAATTATCAGCTAAATTGTTCTAACCAGCCTGCCCCAGTAGCTTAACACATGTGTATTCTGTTCTTTGATTTTGGATCTTGAGCTGCAATTTCTAAAGAGCCTTCCCTCACTCACAGACCCAGGAGATGCTCAACAGAAGGCGTGTCATGACCAAACAAGTTAGGGAGATGATAGATGACGGCTTACTGCCCACTGAGAGATGTATGATGTTCCTTGGCGTGTTGGCAATGCTGAAGTCGAAGAACAGCAGGAAAGAAACCTGCTGCTTAACTCGGAGTTGGTTGGAGATTTTGACTTCTGGTCATTTAGCACCTGCTCTTATCCCGTGGCTGAGTTGGGAAGCGCTGGGGCTGAGAGCCCCCCCTCTCTGGCAGGTGCTGTTGAGTCCAGAGCTGTCTGGCTTGTAGTCCGTGGCTGCCCAGGGGATGGAGCCCTGGTGTCTGTTCTGTGCTGGCGGAGGCTGGTCCCGAGGGGCAGCTCATCTGCTTCGAGGCATGGGTCGATAGGAGGGGACGAATGTGCTCAGGGAGGCGACAAGGGGAGTCTGGAGACACAGAGAGACCACAAAGGTGCAGAAAACGAAGAAAGCGAGGTGAACAGAGAAGGGTAAGAAAGGGAGAGAGGAAGGTGTAAAAGGCAGAGGAGCTGAAGGAAGCCAATCACCTTTGGACAAATCTCATTTCTAATGGTTTAAAAAAACAGTGGGGTAGGAAAGTAATATTTGACTTTGACAAGCCTTTATTCTGTACTTGGTACTTGCTAAGGGTTTTATCTTTCACTCATTTCAGTAAGATTTTCAAGAATCTTCTGAAGTAATGCTGTTACCTTCATTTTATAGATGAAGACATGGAAGTTTAGAGAACTGAAGTCTGACCCAAGAGTAGATTTGTCCACCAAAAATTCATGCTCTTCCTTTACCGATGTGGAATTTATCCTGCAAGAGGGCTGTCTACCCAAAGACTCCATTTCCTAGGTCCCCTTGCAGCTAGGTATGGCCAAAGGGCTAGTTTCTAACAATGGAACGTGAACAGAGATGGCGCCTGTTGATTTTGGAGCGTGGAGGTTTTGAGAAGCCGGTATGAGTTCTCCGTGGCATCTTTCCCTTCCACTGGTTGGGAGCAGCGGGCTCTGATGTGCTAGGGGTTGATGGAGCCAGAGCAAGAAAGAAACCTGGGTCCTTGATTCCCCCCCCCGCCATGTGGAAGAAAGCCATGCTTTGACCAGAAACTCCCTCCTTACACTGTTACGTGACTAAATTATAAACTTCTATCAACTGACAGGCATCTTGGAGTTTGATACAGCAAGTAGTTGTGCTGTTGTTCTAGCCAGCCCATGCTTCTCCTGGTATTTCAGTCCACCTGTCACGCTCCTGCAGTCAGGACCCAGGTTGGTCACCGAGTCCTTGGACACAGTGGGGGTCCCTGGGCAGAAGAGTCACAGATTGGGAAGGTCCCTTGCACATCTTCCCATCCCACCCCCAGAGGACCCTGGCCCCTGAGAAGCATGCAGTCTCACCTGGAGAATGCCGTCCCTGGAAAGCTCAGACCTGTCCTGACTCATCCACATTCATTATTATCAAAGAGGGCTCCTCCCTTCATCAACCAGGGTCCCTCCTGGCCATCTAAGAAAATAGGCCTCATTCAGTAAAGGCGGGGCCTTTTCCTGCTTCTGACATAGCTTTGTGTGTAATTTGGGGCAAATCTTTTCCCCTTACTGAGCCTCTGATTTCCTTTTTGTCGTTGTTTTTTCTCTAAGGACCCTTCGAACTCATTTACTACTTTATCATTTACTCAGAAGGAAGGGATATTTAACGAACACTTACTGTATGCCAGGCACTGATTTAGGTGATGGGTTACAGAGGTGAGCAAAGTAAACATGGTCCAGTCCTCCCTGAGTAATGGGCAGTCACAATGACAGGAGATCAGGGAAGGATGGAGTGCCAGAGGGGGCCCAGAGGGGAGAGCCAAACCCAGACTTGGATATCAAGGGTGCTCCCTAGAGAAAGTGACATTTTAGCTGAGCTTTTAAAGGCAAGTAGGGGCTATCTAGTTTAAGTGGGAGAAGCATGGGTAACAGCATTCAAGAAGAACACTGCTTGTGCAAAAGCTTGGAGGTAAGAGAAGATGTGGTCCATCCAAGGATCTGTGATTCGAGGGGTACGCCAGCTTGTGAAAGGGAAAGGGAATGGTGGGGGGGATGAGGTTGGGGTGCATGGCAGCTCACACTGCAGTTAGGCAGGGCCTAGATATCTTCCTTAGGGGGAACAGGCAATCATGGGAAGATAGCCGGCAGGGGTGGGGCATGTTCAGAACTGAACTTTAATGACCCTGTGGAGATATCTGCCTCCTCGGTTCCTTAGATCTTGGACCCTGAAGGACGTCATGATCTTGGGGACATTTTGGTGTTGCATTGCCTTGACTCAAAACCCTGCAGTCCTGGGCTTCTAGCCTAACTTGGGATGGCCTTAAAGTCCCTCTAACCGAAAAGATTCTAGCCACATGCTTGCCAACCTCTGTTCCACTAGTGTGACCTGCTGTAAGTTCTACCTCGCACTCTTGTCCCAGGGCCACCCTCTATGTACACACTCCCCCCACCCACTGAAGGGCTCTCCTCATGCCACTCGCCTCAGATGCCAGGACCAGAGCTGCGCACCCTAATGGTAAGCCCTTGATGGAGATGCTGCTAACTCTGTGCTGGACTCAGCCCAAGATTCGATTCACGGGCTTCATCTCATTCACTCTTCATAACAAGCTCATCAAATATGGATAGGAA